AATTATAATAATTTATAATTTAGAACTTTCTATTTATCAAAGAATCCCTACAAATGTAAAAAAACAAACAAACAATGTTTTCAACATTGATAATAGTAAGAAATGTTTCTTGAGCAGCAAATCTGCATATTAGAATACTTTCTGAAGGATCATGTGGGACTGAAGACTGGAGTAATGATGCTGAAAATTCAGCTTGGCATCACAGGAATAAATTACATTTTAAAATATATTCAAATATAAAACAGGTATTTTAAATTGTAATAATATTTCACAATATTACTGTATCTTCCATCAAATGAATCAGAAATCAGAATCAAAAGGAGCTTTATTGCCAAGTGTGTTTACACACAAGGCATTCGTTTTGGTGTCAGGAGCTTCCAGTACAGAAAGTACAAATATACATACATATAAAGTACAGACATACATATAATTTAAGGTAATAAAAACACTAATAATAAAGAGAATAGACAATAAATCATAAATAATATAGTAATAAAATACAGAGAAAAAGAAAATGTCAGTAGACAGAACTTTGAATGTGCATATGTGCTATTTACAGATGAAAGTTTTGATGAGTTATTTGCAGATGTACAGTCCTGAGGTGTGTTATGTGTTGTTAACTTTTTTTACTAGATATTTAAAGGGGTCCTATTATGCTCTTTTACAAAGTCTTGATTTTGTTTTGGGGGTGTACTAGAACAGGCTCTCATACTAGGTTGTTCGAAAAACACATTATTTTTCACATATTTTACATGATTACAACACCGTTGAAAAAGTGAAAAAGCATAATAGGACCCCTTTAAGTAAATGCAGCCTTGTTAATATTTTCACATCCTTAAAATCTACAGTAGTCTGAATGCTCCTTTACAGCCCTTCCTCTGGTTTGTTTTAAACTTAACAGTTCATTTTCTGCTCACAAATCATATGACACTGAACCTGGAGTCCGTTTGGCCATTATTTGAAAATTAAACATCCTGAAAGACAGAAATACAACAAAAATGTCCTCTGTGAGCAGCTCTACACTCATCTGTGGCTTTTCAAGACACATTCAGTATAGTAATAGCTATGGCTGCGATGACTGCACATTTTCAAAAAACAGAAAGGTGATACTTAAATCATAATTTGCTCCGATGTTTTACATACACTCAAATAAATGGTGTAGAAACAATTTTCACTCAGAAACTGTTAGCAAATTTCACAAATAATTACACAGAAATGGCAAATAACACATTGATTTAAACATGAAATTTTGAAGTAGAAAAAACAGAACAGTATTTTCTCAGTAACATGTACTCCAATAATTAAATAAACATTAGTTAATGTTAACTAAACATGTTTAGTTAATGAAATATAACTAAACAGAACTGGAAGGAAACATCTCACTGCTAAACACCCACACAGAAGACCTCAGGAGATCTTTAGCTCTGGTCAAATGCATTCATATGTGTGTAAGAGTGTAATCCCAATGTGACCTTCCAAAAGCACTGTGTATTAAAACCACAATTTGATTCTCCAAGTCTCAAGGTGCAGGTCTCGTGTATGTATGTGTGTGTGTGTGTGTGTGTGTGTGGGTGTGTTGATGCACTCTTGGAGGCAAGCAAACACACTTCAGAACATGAAAAAGATCTTATACATTATTTCAAATACACCCATGAGACAGCAGAGTGCTGACAGAGATGACAACACACACGCATACCGACTCTTTCACTCTCTCAGCATCAGAGTCAATGCCAGAATGAAAAAGTACTGCACTAAAAATACAGTAGAAGAGACGACACACACACTTTCACACAGCATTGCATGGAAAGCCCACACAGAGAGTCGGAGAGCAAGTAGCTCTGCCATTCTTACAATTACACATTTCTCCTTTCATCATCCTTACCACTCTTGGTCTGTTTTTCTCACTCTTTTTTTGTCAGAAGCAAATTCATTGGTTCGAAATAATCTGATAATTTGATATTTAAAGACTATCGGCATACTATGTCTTTACTATGTGGATTGGTGAAAATTTGTATGAGTGACTTCTGTAAAAGAAGAAAAAACTATATTCTGAAGAATATTGCAGTCCAAACAAAATGGGACCAGTGTTATTTTAGTATAATTTATATACTATTATAGAATTTAATAATATTTTGAACTAGCTTTTATTTTCATTCTCATCTTAATTTAGGTTTTAGCAATTTTGTTATGTGCCTTTGTCATTTTTGTAGTTTTTATAAGTAAATCCTGTTATGTTTAAGTTTTAGTAATGTAGTACTTCAACTTATTTATTTCAGTTAGTTTCCAAGAAAACATTTCAAGGTAAGTTTTTTAAGTTTTTCTACGGTTTAAGTTCATCTAATATTTATATTTTACATTTACTTTTAAATTAATGCAACTGGCAGACCAGAGTAATTTACATTTTATCAGTTCTTGCTTTTCCTGGGAATCAAACCCATGACCTTGGCATTGCTAGCACCATAATCTGCTCTTTATAAATATAATAAGTAATTTTATTTTATTTCAGATTTATTTCAATTACTGAAAATTATTTTTTATCGATTTAAACAATAACAATCCATGGGACCCCACTGACTTTTTGTCAAAAAAAAAAAACACCTTTTGAGTTCCATAGAAAAAACTAAGTCATACAGGTTTGTAACAACATGAGGATGAGTGAATGATGCCAGAATTTTCATTTTTGGGTAAACGATCCCTTTAACTACTTTTAATTATGAGTAGCTTATAGCTACATCTCCAATACTGGTCCAATTAAATGAAATCAACAGGTTAAAGTAGGAGCCATTGGCAATGTCTTGATCCAATCACACAGAGATTGTGGGTTTGAATCTCATTCATATAAAGATCAGGTCAGACCTCTCAAGAAACATGACTGGCAGCGTTTCAGCATGGTGTGCCAATCCTGGGTAGCCTCCTTTCCATTGCCTCAGCTGTTCCCATGGCAATGAGATGCCTGTGGGTTGCAGGCTAATACGATCATGTGGATCTCAGCATGTGTTAAAGTACCTTGTTGGCACCTGTAATCAATGGGCAAATAGCAAATAGCTGCCTTGATGCGTTTCGAAGCATACAAATTCTCTATGACAAGGACTTACAAGTTAATGGGCAACACGCTAGGCGTGAATCGTGGGGAAAAAGTATGTTTGGAAACTTCCATCTTCATTCCTCTGCTCTCTCCTTCTCGTATATATCACACCTCAGCCTGCGTCGCAGAACACTCAGCAAATCCGTTCATACGCAACTGTTGACAACTGCTGCTGAGAGGCATCTTAGTGTTCTCACTTCAGACAATGAATAGAACACAAATATTCACACAAAAGGCCTATGAACAACTCAGGCTAATTAACATACTAATGAGGCCTTTAAGCTAACGAATTTTGTGTGCTCATTAGAGAAAAAATTGGAGGCAGTCAGTCGTGTCTGCGAGTGTGTATACAAATGTATGTATTTTTGTCGTACACACTCACACCCACAAATGACACTGTAAAGCCAAATACCACACAAATGCACAACAGCAAGTTTGCCGTCGGCAGCAAGAAGAAGTCTCTCAGGGTAACAGGAGACAGGGCGAATTAGAGACACCCACAAACATGAGCCTCCCCCCACCCTATTTTAAGAAATCCCCAGTTGGGGCAACACCTGATAGGGATATAAACAGAGTGTAGGAGAGTGTGGCAGGTGGCAGCTGTCCTGAATTAATCACATATCTCAGCAAATTCTCTTTACCTGTTTGGACCCCAAAGAACATGAGGAACTCACATCAGATGACTAACACTACAATACCATATGTATATCTTACAAAACCCCTCTGCCTCAATTATGAGTTTTACCATTGTATTTGACATAAATACAGCATGAGGGACCTAAAAACTGGTGGACCAAATCTGATGTGTAGGATGCTAGGATTTTGTGAGGGACAGTCCAGTATGTAGCTACATCCTCCGTTTAAATGACAAATGGAGGAGGAACCGTCAACAAACTGATCATAAATGATTTCACGCCTCCCCGAGTGACATTTCTCCTTATAAATGATCCACAGGGATGGGAGTAGTAAGGAATTTAACGATGCTGGTTAAGATTGTAATTCTGTGAGCGTTTTTTATTACTTTTGAAGACAACAAAATAGACATAACAATTATTCATATTTACTTCCATCAGCAGTCAAAAGATGAACATGATAAAAATAATAAATTGTGGTTCAGTAAATGACTCAAATTAATTCACTAAGGCTCCGAGTGATTTATGTGTTTTTGATTCACTAAGAGAACCGGCTCATAAGAGTCATTCGTTCGGGAATCGAACTAGATTGGCCGCACTGTATGTTTTGGATCACTAAAAAGAACCGACTCAAACGAGTAAATCGTTCGGGAATCGGTCTACATTGTTGTTGATTCACTCAAAAAGATCCGGCTCACAAGAGTCATTTGTTCGGGAATCGAACTATACTGATCACTAGATTCGGTGGTAGTGTTGCCGCTGAATAGTAGTGCAGGAAACACTGTCAAGAGTATTTTAGTACGGCGATCTGTACGCATTAGCGTATGAAGGCACGTTTGAAAACCGTTGACGGAAACGTCAGGAAATTTTTCGTTTAAAAAACGGAACCGGTTCTCGGTTCTCAGCCCAGATGATTCATATAAGTTTCTAAATCACCATAAACTACATCCACATATTTTATCATAAAAATAAAGGCATAGAAATCATTATGGTTCTTTCTGTAATCACTACAATGACGAATTCCGCACCGCCAATGATTATTTTACGTTTGTGTGCCATTATGGTGGAAATGATCCTGTGACGCAAATTTGGAGACATTCTCGCTCCACAGTAATTCCACATCGCACTGATCACATCCACTCCGAACAGCGCCTGCCGTTTACCGAGGCAAATTCACTCCATTCCAACTACCCCTAAATAAAGCCGGTGGCGCCTCGAACTGCACTAATTATCGCTGACTAACCAATAGCGACGCGCAAACGCACTGAACGGAAGGTACGTACCTGTGATTTAAGCAAATGAGGAATGCTTTCCTCCTAAATAATTTTCGGCAATGCCAAATATTCCAGCCAGATCAGTTTCCTCTCCGTTAAGCGTGCAGCTGACTGCTCCTCGGTGGCAGAAATACCCCAGGGCCGCTTTCGCCCTCCTCACTCGTGCGCACACGCACACACGGACCGGCTCCGGTGCCTGCCCAGTTCCGGCAGATCGATGGAACCGGCGAAGCTCACGTTATAGCGCAGGAAACAAGTTGGTGTTCTCACAACCGAGCGGGCCTCGTTTCATTTCATGACCAAGCATCCCGATTCAGCACCAGTGCAACCGCTGCATCTGAAGCCTTACATCCGTCAGCATCTGTGCATTTCTTCTGCATGCATTACAAACCTGCTTGCTTAATTAGGCTACCGCTTCATTTGATCATGCAGTTGAGAGACTGCGCGACTTGTCCTGCTCGTTTTTCCGTGCATCACGAGAGGGACAATTTTAAGATGGCATGCTCTCTCCCCCCTTCAATCTCCGCCTTCCTTCTCCAGATTTCGCCTTGGAAACACACCCTCCGCCGAACACACGCGGACACACGCGTCTACGTCATCGCATCAGCTGGGACCGATTAGATGCACCATAATTCATGTGCATGTAATATCACATCTGCGCGCGTGCCTTGAAACAATGTTTAAAATACCATGCATGACCATATGTGGAATAATTGCGTGGAGCAAGAGGTCAAAAATATTTAATTTGGTCTATAGAGAAGCCTTACGTCTTTAATGCTGCATGCTGTCTAATGTTGTTCTTGAGCTTACATCTGTGCACCTACAATTACCCTCCACAAAATGTGTAATTTTATGATTTTATGATAGCGTGATCTAATTTAATATCACATTTCGTGTTACTGATAGACTGATACATCAGAAAGGCCGAATAATGGAACATTATTGAACCATTTTGAGATTGTACACTGTAAAAAATGACCGTGAATTTAACGGTAAAAGACTGTAAAAATGCTACAGTAAAAACCTGTTAAATGGTTAACGGTAAATTCCCCTACTATATACGGTGAAAAACTGTATTGGACATTACATGTATTGGACATTAATTTTACGGTGGTATACTTTTTTTTTACAGTGTAGACTAGAAACTGCCAGATTGGACAAATAACAGAACTGGCCATCCATGAATAGAGTTTGTTCCTAAACTTACCAACAGCCATATCAGAGAACTGAAAAAGTATTAAATTAGAAAGAAAGTGTACATTTATAATCATTAATTTTATGTAAATCTTATTTGTTATCATTAAAGGAATAGTTCAACCAAAAATGTAAATTCTGTCATCATTTACTCACCTTCATGTTGTTCCAAATCTGTATGATTTTCTTTTTTCCATGGAATATAAAGTTATTTAAAATCAACATTTCCTCTTTTGTGTTCCTCACAATAAATAAAGTCACAGATTTGGAACGATATTGGGACAGGCAAATTATGACAGAATTTACATTTTTGGGTTACCTTTTAAATTGCATTTTTATAGCCTTATTTCATACTACTCTCTAGATGTCATACCCTTGTCATATTGGGAACTATTTTCTGTGTATGTTATTCAAAAGAAAAAGTTATTTTCATAATATTTAATCAAAATGTAAAAATGTTCTCAACTGAAACATTTTTTCAGCCAACAACCAAACCCTTATTTTTCAAACATTTTCTTCCAAACCACCTGTCATAGAGAGAAAAATCAAGTCTTGTCTGATCTTTTTTCTCATTGACTATCATATTTTAGGGGG